CTCATCTCCCAAGGAACGGGGCCTGGAAGATCGCAGCCGTTAGGGTTGACCCAAAAGCCTTAACACTATGCGATAGCTTCTCTGTGACAAAGCCTGCAACACTCCTGTGGACAAAACGCCGCATGTCCGGGTCGTCCCCACACGTTTACTAAATGTGTGACGCAGTTAAAACCTTAAAATCAAATCACGCACTGGCTTGTTCGGCCACCTGCGAATCTATCGCAGGGGGTTAACTAATTTAAACCCTGGCAACTGCGATCTTCAGACCATGGTTCCTTGGTATAGAGAAGAAGTCGATGGAGGCCAGAATAGAAGGAATAGTTTATTGTGTACACAGAGGAACGGAGAATAGATGGAACAAATTTGACTTGGGAGCACACGACCAGTCAGGACGGCCAGCCTGGTCGAAGTGTCAGTTTGACAGCAGTCAAGCCAGTGGGCGGAGAGAGCATTTCCCGCGTGCAGGCTTGCTATTCGTCGCTGGGCCAGAAAGCAAATTTGCGGCAACTGTGATTGGCTGTTCCCAGACGTTGAGACCAACTTCTGTGCGGGTCTTCGGGAAAGTTCACTTCGACGCGAGCTAGTCATTACAAATCCACTGTATTGAGACGGGCGAATCAGCTTTTGAGACTTTCATTCATTCATCCCATCCACCTCACCCGTTCACACACACAGCAAGTCCTTTGGTTTAGCTTGGTACATATGAAGTGGGCACAAGATAGAGCGTTGTACATTTAGACATGCGAATGTTTAGCCTTGTCATGTTCAGCGCCCACCTCCGTAGCTAGTTGTGTGAGAGGCTCAAACAGTCATGCGAGAGGGAGTGAGCCGGAAACCTGTTTTTTTTTCCCGCACTATCCTACATATGACTCACCTAAAGACACGCCTAAGCTTCCTGGCCTGAAAAGATTGTCAACAACGACGCGATGACTCGTTTCTTCTCTGGACAAGCTGCACTGTGACTCCACCCCAAAGTAGCTCCCCTCCCATTCCCACATAAGCGGAGAATCATTTCTCGCACCGCAAGTGGGTTGACAATACTGCCTCCCCCTCTGCTATGTACGTTTACTCAACCCTCTTCCTGTTCATGGATGTGACCTGTAAAGGTAGTTGATCTATACCCCCCACCCCATCCGCAGTAAGGGGAGAGCTTGCAAGCCATACGCGTAAGTTCGTCGCCACGGCCATTTAAGCACTCGTTATGGTTGTTCTTAGACGCCGTCTTACTGGTTAGCTTGCTGTGTCTTCTAAAAAAGCCAGTTTTATGAACAGGCCTTTCTTTTCTGCCATTACAACGGCAGGCTCTGTGTGACACGCTCTTTGATTTTCCGGAGAATGAACCCTTCTGGACAACCATTTTTGGCGGACTGTAGCTGTTGCAGCCCTACTTCAACTCTGCAAAAAGTTCCATTGTTTACGGTCATTTATCTTCATGTCGGTACAAAAGGCTCAATTATGTGCGCCGTAAACTGTACACTGTTATTTGCTCTGGCCTGAATGTGAATGACCGAAAACAACAGTTTGCCAATACGACTTTTCAGTCCACTTCAACTATTTCAGGCGATCAGATACGTTGTACTCTTGCTGCCAATTCTTGGACTAAGTTTCTTTTGAGGTTAGGAGGCACAAAACTATGAAAATTAACGTATTGCCCTGTCCAGGTTTTTTTTATCCCGAAAATCCTGTGTTGTATTGGACCATCTTCTTGTCTGTGTGCAAAAGGACATCTAGGAACGCGAGTTCGTTGTTCGCCTCCGTCCCCGCGGTAAACTTAAGTGCCGTGTGAGCCTTGTTAAACTTTTGAACTAGACCATCGATATCGGTGGTCTTATTTGTCATGCAAAGGGTATTATTCACGTAACGACCATAGAACTAAGTTATTGAGCTTCGTTTCCTCGACCTTATACATGGAGACATTTTCGAGGAATGGTCCAAGTGGTGAGCCCATCACCACTCCGTCTATTTCCCCGTATAACTGGTCATTCCAGATAAACTGTACATTTTGTGGACAACATGTCAGCAATTCCTTTAACATCTCCACTGTCATCCCTCTCTGGTAGTTTGTTTCCCTATAAAGTCACATCCGTGCTCTATAATTTCTTCTACCGGCACGTTGGTAAACAGTTAAGATATATCTAATGGCAGCATCTCTAGTTCGCCAACGTTAGTATCCCCGACAGTCTCGAAGAAGTCAACGGTGTCCTTTGTGTCTTTGGATGGATGTGACGAAGTTGCCTATTAAGAAGTCACCAGTATTTTTTCTCTAATTGCTCCGTCCTTCGTTAGCGATAGACCGCAGAGTACCTGGCCTCCGAATCTTTCGATCCTATTACACCTTTCAGCAGTGGATCAACTATGCCGCCTACGGATCAGACAACGTGCTCCCAATTGGCCCGATTGGTCGAAGACTGAGGGTCGGCATTTCGCGCAAAAGTCTGTCACCATCGCCACGACCACCACCACCGAAAATCCCGTTCGTGTACTTGTTTGCCAAATCTGCATCGGAATCTGCGCATATGATGCAGGAGAATTCGTGTGAAGACACTACCTGATAACTGGTCAGGGCCGTGGCCGTCTACATCTTACCAGAAGGTCATCCTATCTCGGATTTGTTTTTCTGTTGGGCCAGGGCCGGGGTCGGCAACCTATGGTTCGCGAGCCAGATGTGGCTCTGCTGATGATTGCGTCTGGCTCTCTCAGATAAGATTGGAATAAGAAACTTCAGATTTTGTGATTATGGTTCCTCCAAGGACGTGCCGCCGCCGAGACGTGTATTAGAATCAATTTAATCTCAACCAATCTGTGGCGTTTCGGCCCCCTACGTTTGATCTAGCAGTTGTTTCAATGTTCCCTTTCCGGCTAGCCGACAGCAGCTGCTTCCCTTTCTTCTGTGTCCCAACGGCCGCGACAAGCTCGCTAAATAACAGACACTCTACTAAA